TCAAGTCTGGTTTCCTTACTTGGGAACTTGCCGAGGTATTACTCACTTTTGAAAGTGGTATAAATCTTAGTTTAGGATAGAACTTCTTAGTTTAGGATATTTAGGATATTTTAGTACTTGCTGTGTAATTGGAATATGTGGATTTTGGGGTTCGAGAATTTTAGGATGCGGAGATTTGGGGATGTGGGGATTTGGGGATGTGGAAATGTGGAGATGTGGAAATTTGGAGGCGTAGAAATTTGGAAATGTGGGAATTTGGAGGCGTAGAAATTTGGGGATGTGGGGATTTGGGGATGTGGAGATTTGGGGATGTGGAGAGTAGGGAATATGGAAATTTGCGAATGTAGAGATTTGAGGATGTGGAAATTTGGAGGCGTAGAAATTTGGAAATGTGGGAATTTGGAGGCGTAGAAATTTGGGGATGTGGGGATTTGGGGATGTGGAGATTTGGGGATGTGGAAATTTGGAGGCGTAGAAATTTGGAAATGTGGGAATTTGGAGGCGTAGAAATTTGGGGATGTGGGGATTTGGGGATGTGGAGATTTGGGGATGTGGAAATTTGGAGGCGTAGAAATTTGGAAATGTGGGAATTTGGAGGCGTAGAAATTTGGGGATGTGGGGATTTGGGGATGTGGAGATTTGGGGATGTGGAAATTTGGAGGCGTAGAAATTTGGAAATGTGGGAATTTGGAGGCGTAGAAATTTGGGGATGTGGGGATTTGGGGATGTGGAGATTTGGGGATGTGGAAATTTGGAGGCGTAGAAATTTGGAAATGTGGGAATTTGGAGGCGTAGAAATTTGGGGATGTGGGGATTTGGGGATGTGGAGATTTGGGGATGTGGAGAGTAGGGAATATGGAAATTTGCGAATGTAGAGATTTGGGGATGTGAGGATTTGGAGGCGTAGAAATTTGGAAATATGGGAATTTGGAGGCGTAGAAATTTGGGGATGTGGGGATTTGGGGATGTGGAGATTTGGGGATGTGGAAATTTGGGAATGTAGAGATTTGGGGATGTAGAGATTTGGAGGCGTAGAAATTTGGAGATGTGAGAATTTGGAGGCGTAGAAATTTGGGGATGTGGGAATTTGGGGATGCAGGGATTTGGGGATGTGGAGATTTGGAGATGTGGAAAGTAGGGAATATGGAAATTTGGGAATGTAGAGATTTGGAGATGTGGAGATTTTGGGACGTAGAGATTTGGGGATGTGGAAATTTGGGGATGTGGAGATTTGGGGATGTCGAGGTTTAGGGATGCAGCGACTCAGAAATGTAGCAACATAAAAATCTAAGGATATCAAAAAATACAAAAGTAGAAACAAAAAAAATATAAATACAGAAATACACAAATTTCCACGTACTTCAACCACCATTCCTCCTACAGAAAGAGGAACTAACCCTATAAAATAACCCTATAAAAATAACCCTAAACCATTAATTCAACAAATTACAATCTAAAAAATAGAGTACCGATCCAATCCACGATACGAGTAAAGTCAACCATGATTAAGAAATCGTAAAAAAAGGCGGCAAAAACGCGTTACATCAAACCAGTTCTAAGAATAATACTCAAAGACCGGTTGATTAATTGGGTTTTATATGAAACGTGATTATAACGAGCACGTTTGCAATATGCAATATGTAACTGGGAAAGGTGCGTGGAGTAATGGAGGCCAGCTCCGAGGTGTCTCAGCATTTGAATTTCGTTTTGTTACAGCATCCTTGTGATCCGAGGTCTTCTGTAGCTAACAGCAGATAAGACTGTTTATGAAATATTTTTCTTCGATTCAGCGAACACGTGCGTTTCTTTCCGCTCTGCTACTGGCAACTTTTTTGCAGGAGAGATACAGAGCACATTTTTGATTACGGATCGACGTTGCAATCGGTTGTTTGCGGGATACAACGGTTAGAGAATGGAAAGATTATTCGCGGTGACGCAAAATGGTCCACGTGCTTCTTTTTAGGCAACCTTGATCGGATGCTTCCTTTTTGCGCGCGGATCTTGTTTACCGAGTGTAGCAATTCTTCTACGAAATAGTCTCTTCTGAATGTTTGGATTAACACTCGATAGAGAGAAATTATCTTGCTGATTTCTCGAAACGTTTGAATGTTAGCGATAATGCAATTTTCTGTCTTTAGTGACTTCACAAATAAGCAGTCGGACTTTGCCGACTGTTCGTGGAATTTATGACTCTCGCTGTTTTATATTCCTCGGTGTACCTGAAACTGAGTTAATAATAGAATTACCTGTCTCGAATGAACTGCAAAATTGCTACTTAATTAGAATATCAGTTTTATAAAATAAGTAGAACTTTTGCAAAAAATTGACATATCACAGAAAACGTTAAAGAATAAAGGCAAAATATAAATTATCGAGTGTATCTTTATAAGATTTACTAACAATAAAATGTACTTTGAACGCTAGACACAATGGTCCAATAGTTTGCACTCCGCAAACATGTTATTTCATACAATTAACGAAAGAATCCCAGATGTCAGTTAAAAAGGCGAGTTAGCTCGAGCAGTTACATCCGGTTATTCTGCATCGTTTGTACAGTTATGCTAATTCGAGTCGGTCGTTCGGCTTTATAATTACACGTGGCATCATCGCAGGGTCGCAAGCACGCACCGTTGAACCGTAAATTTCTCTTCTAATTCGCAAAACAGAAGTGTCGTGCGTGTAACGAATCGGCGCTTAAACTCCCTATTAAGTTCCTCTTTAATTTTCTCGTCAATTTCAGCGAAACGCTGGGGGGACGAGTAATAATTATAGGACGTTGACGCGAGCCGTTACTCGAGTGTCAATTTCATCGGCGGGCATTCGCTCAACGAAAGTTAAATTGCACAGAAATACACGCGTAATGCCACAGTACAAAGTTTAATACGCGTAGAATTTCTCTGCGATCGACAGGATTATACTAGATTGAAATTAACCAAAGTTATGCTAGTTTAACGCTTCTACTTTTGGCAACGCAACGTAACGCGACTTGCCTTTACGACATTACGGCGAACGCGGAATTAAACTCGAGCTAACGTGTCTTCACTCACGTCGCCGCGCTTAGAGAGGTTCAAACTATTTGTCTAGGAGGAGGGAAGAGGCTGAAAAGAATGTCGATCCATTTACAGCGTTAAACCTTTGACTACGTGTCATCGGTGACCACTGCCCACAACGGAATCACTATTGTGCTCTTTTTTATCTTCCACTGAAAACTATTCGATATCTCATTGTTCGATAGTTATTTTCCAATCCTTATCGCCGTTTGAACAGGTGGAAATTATTTTATATCGAAGGAGATACAGTATGAAATTGCAATGAACTTTTACTACCATAGTCCATGAAAACCATAACAACCTCTTATCAAACAGGGTTTTTAAATTACTTTCTAACACGAAAGACAATCTCAACGACTCGATTAAAAGACTTAACTATGCATTTTAACTAAAAAGACTTAATTATGCATTGAATCGCAGTAAAAATTTGAAGAGGTAACGTTTCGCAATCGCGCGAAAATTCGTGAAATTACAGGCGTGTGAAGACGCGTTGCATCATTCCGGCTGCACCGGAGGTATTACGGAGAATGATTCAACATGGAGGTGTACGGTACAGCAACACGTATTCCGGGAAGTACATAATCATTCCAAAGAAATGCACGCAACGATAATGTATCTCGCGTGGCACTGTATCGTCGAAGCATTTCTTTTTTACCAAAAATCCGATGTCCGGCGGTCAATGCCGTTGTACGATAAACACCGGACAAAGTTTAATTCGTCAGACGATTTTTTCAATAAGGTCAATCAGTCTGGCGAGTTATCGAAACCAGCCGTTCGTATTCTTTCGCCACAGAGGTTATCTAACGTAATTAAGCAAACTAGTCATTTAGCTTGAGCAACTGATCAATTTCACGGATACAAAAAAAAATCATACATCTTTCACTTTTCTGTAGCAATCGATGATCATAGTTCAATTGATTAGAAAGACTGAGAGGAAAATTGAACTCGGTTTTGTGGATTTGTTCTAATCTGCCGAACGCGCGAAACGTTTCCGCTGTCTGCCAATCCATATCTCCGAAAGAGGATTCATTTCACAAGAATGATATCAACGAATTACGAAACCGATACGACAAATTTTACAAACAATACTGTCGAGCAAAAAGTAACGCTTGTACTTTGCCAATTGAAAAAATTCGATCTATTGAAAAGATGAACTTAACACCTTTGACTCGGAAAGTCAATCGAACTTTTTATTGATTATGTATATGGTACCTATGTGCATTGTGGTAGTATACTCTACAAGATTACCCAAACTTGTATGGATAGATAAACTTTTGTACACTTTTATCGACAATTTGCACTTATGTAAAAGAAATGTATGACAACATTACCGTGTAATTTTCCAGCACTCCTAAACTATTAAATTTAAATTTCTCAAAACTTTACAAGCCTAATCCAAAAGTTTCAATGCTCAAAACCAAAGTTTAAATAACAGAATTAAAAATAAAATCGACCGCGCAAAAAGAGCGGGAAACAAACTGCGCCTGTGTCAAACGCAAGCACGTGCGTTCGACGTCGATAAAATAAAATACATAAAATGCGAGAAGCCATCGAACTGAACCCTCGTAGAAATGTATTTTTAGTCCCCCTGAAGCGACACACATCCTGTAGAGGTTTATTTTATTGTCGAACAAACGGTGGATCAAGAAGAAAGCGTCTGCCGGATCGATGAATGCGTTCACGGAAGGGAAACGGTTGCGTCATGTCACGCGTGCGCAACGTCACTTTCGTTTCCAAATAATTTCAACCTGTTCTACGTGCTGTTGCACGTCGAATTTGAAATTTATCGATCCGCTGAAACGATCACGGACCGATATCGCTAAAAATTGTCGAGGAAAAGCGAGCAACTAATTTAGCGGGGCTTTCGGTGCGGCGTCTCTTTGTTTCGTCAGCTCGCGCCAGCCCGCTCCGAAGCCTATGGGAGGGTATAAAAAGTGGGGACAAGGTCACCTTACTAGACAGAAGTCTTCGAGCTGTCAGACCAGTCAGACGTACGAACGTAGCTGCGGATAGACATTTCGTGTTTTTCGTTGAATTTGTTAAAAAAAGCAAACAAGGTTGGTGAATACAATAAATAATTCAACATTTTATTCGACGCTGTTTCGGTCTCGTGGAACTTTAAATAAAACGCGAATGTATTATTCGACGAGGAATTCGAATCGTTTTACCATGTATGGGATGTCCTTCCACGGAAATAGGGTCAAAGCGTAATAATTGGAGAATGTCGGTTAATTGGTGCTGCTCGATCGTTGTAACTTCGCGTTGCCAGTGACGTTTATAAGAGTGAATAATTCGAAAACATGTTTGTGAAAATGTTCATTGGTAATAGATTCGAATTTTTTTCGAGGTTAATTTTCCATAACTGCATTTCCGTAAGTATCGTGGGAATACCGGTGTGGTACACGTGCTTGTCGTACAGGTAGTGGCATCTCGCGAGAACTAGCACTACTGTTCTATCTACAATTTCATTCACGTACCGTGAAAACGGTAAACAAATTGATAATTCTGTGACCAGGAAGACTTTTTCCGGAAGAGAAACATTTATATTGAATACTAAGATCGCTGGACAATTTTTCGGAGTAACTTGTCTTTTAATTCTTAATCCGTCTTGAATTACGAGTCGCTCCGAAAATAGAAAATTTGGGGTCATTCGGAAAAGTGTTTCGGTTACGCGTGTATAAATATATGGAGTGAATGACCTGCGTGACCTCTTTGACCTTGAAATAGTCAATTTAGAAAACTGGAAAAATAACAGTTACATATTTTGCAAGTAATTTAATACAACGAGTGCTAAATTAGGTTTAAAAAATCTAATATTTAAAAAAGGGCTAAAATTGATCGTTTACACCCAACTCATAATGATCTACGCCATTTTGTCCTACTGAGAGTTCCTTGACCTTCATCGTTACGTCGTTAAACCCCCAAAGAATTTCAATGCATTCCTCAATGCTACTAGAACCAAAATTAATCACAACAAATAATTGTTTCAGGAAAATGACTTCCATAAAGGCCAGGTTATTGAGCACGGTGGTGCAGCCGATCTCCACTGGAAGAAACAAGATCACCGTAGTCGGTGTTGGTCAAGTAGGAATGGCTTGTGCTTTCACTCTTCTGACAAACGTAAGAGCAATATATTTGACTCATTGCGACACTTGAGCGCAATCATACGTAATCATCTGTTGAATAATGTTCTATTACAGAACGTGTCCAGCGAAGTCGCCCTCGTGGACGTGATGGCGGACAAGCTGAAAGGTGAAATGATGGACTTGCAACACGGTAGCGCGTTTTTGAAAAACGCTAAAATCAACGCGAGCACGGACTACGCCTCCACGGCTAACTCGAGCTTGTGTATCGTGACGGCTGGTGCCCGTCAAAGAGAAGGCGAAACTAGGCTAGATCTGGTTCAACGTAACGCAGACATTTTCAAAGGCATCATTCCTCAGCTGGTCAGATATAGCCCGAACACGATCCTCCTGATCGTTTCGAACCCGGTAGACATTTTGACCTACGTGGCATGGAAACTGTCTGGCTTGCCAAAGAATCGCGTGATAGGCAGCGGCACCAATTTGGATTCGGCCCGATTCCGTTTCCTCTTATCGCAGAAATTGAACGTAGCTCCCACATCTTGCCACGGCTGGATTATCGGCGAACACGGTGACACGAGCGGTAAGTGGAATCTCTCAAAGGGTAATCTTTCGTTTCTGCACGATGATCGATAAGTCTTATCTACGATAAGACCGACCATAAATATCTAACACTGATTGGAACACCGATTGCGATTTTGCGTAATTTTCTAACGAGTTCGAGATAATATTTTTCGAATACGAATAAGGAATCGATGAGGAAATACTTGGAACGTTGTTTAATTAAATGATGTCTGATTTCAGTGCCGATATGGTCGGGAGTGAACGTAGCTGGTGTAAGGCTGCGCGATCTGAACGACAAAGTTGGTACCCCCGAAGACCCGGAACACTGGAGCGACTTGCACAAGCAAGTAGTCGACAGTGCATACGAAGTGATCAAACTAAAAGGCTACACATCCTGGGCTATCGGCCTCAGTGTGTCCAACCTAGCCTCCGCCATATTGAGAAACTCTAACCAAGTTCATGCGGTATCTACCTTGGTCCAAGTAAGTCGATAACTCACAGTAGATAACTGCTGTGCATATCTTTTACAGTACATAGTAATTTTTCGCTGATATCGTATCAACGTAATTTCTCTATTGGCTGTAGATTATAGACAAATTATGATCAGCTTAATTGGCGGTCGTACGTAATATGATATATGGCTTTTACACCAGGCGAACAGTTTCAAATTCTTTATTGAGGGTCTTAAGTTTTAAGTATTCGAGGAAATCATGCACAAAGTAAAATAAATCGTATCCGTAGTGATAAGATACCGATTACGATCAATACTTTCAGAGTAAATACAACAAATTCGCACTGCCAAATATTTCCCAAAATTTTACGTTCAAAAAATTTAGTACTTGAGAGATGTAGAATTTGAAACTTGAATACTTCAAATATTCGGCATGAAGCTAATTATTTGAATGTTTTTCAGGGATACCACGGAATCGACAAAGAAGTATTCCTCTCCCTGCCATGCACGTTAGGCGAAGGAGGTGTCACATGCGTCGTCCAACAAAAGTTCACGCAAGACGAATTGAACCGTTTACAGAGTTCAGCGAACGCGATGAACGACGTTCAACAAGGCTTAAAGTTCTAAGCGATCTATGACTGCGTATTGCAGTAATTCTTTCTATTTAAACAACAACAGAACCCAGTTCATCAGTTTTTATTCTCGTAAACGTCAGTTTTTTAATTATGCACAAAGACTGTTGTTTGTAACGACTACTTATCGTTTCTACTTACGTTTACTTTATGCTACTTATTATTTGTGTACTGCGAATAACGAAGGATGTTTGGTCGATATTTAATAGCGTGTCGACAAGAATGTCGCAACTCGCTCGATGATTTTGATGATATGTGTGTGTTCACGTTGGCACATGGTGCTACTGTTGTGTACTGTTAATGTTTTTAAATAATCGTGACAAGCTGTATTGCTTACCCAAGCAACACAGTATTTAGGCAAATTGTATTACGTAAATGGCTATTTAATTTAATGTAAAACATGATACTTAAACCGGTAAGCCTGGGCTAGTACAAAAAGGACGTACACAAAATTCAATGCAAGCGTGAAAAGAACATTGTGAAAACTTCAATTATTGTACGTTTTTACAGCATCAGGCGTATTTTGTAATATTTAATGTCTACCTCGGGATAAATCCTACACCGACTGATGTAAGATACATTGGATCGGTTCGGGTGTCCCTCTACCGAAGATATTCTTCTTACAATCTATCTTGTATATTTATAACAATATTTTAATAAATAATAGTGTTATGCGAACATTTTGTGAACATCATTTTCATCACTTTCTACATCCAACATTTGAATTAGGTTTATATCGGTAATGTAATTAGGCTTTGAAAACGTTTACAAATTTTTCCGCAATTACTGTTAGTCTTTATGAGGTATGACTCGACTCGACTCGTTATATATCTCCAACCATCGTTTGTTTAACAATTGGCAAGTTGATGCGTTGGTAATTTACTAGACGATTTATATGCGCAAATAGTTCTTTATCTGTCAAGGTTCGTTCAATTCCGTGCGATATGTTAATTTCCGTGAAGAAAATTATATAGTGGTAGAAACGATGGTTTTGTCACATATATGCTCGAGTTGTTCGCTACGAATTCATCTGAGACGTACGATAGGTGTAATATCCAGAAGGCACATGGGCATGAGTCGATTTCGTCGAACCTTACCACCAACGTTACTGAAGGACATTTTCAGTGGTAATAAGGCAAAGAAAAAATTTCCGTCTGCCGATTTTGGGAAAGATGCCTCCGCTGGATCTGACTTACAGAGAGCGGTCAGTTTCGTGTAAGCAGTTTGTTTTCTGTACTTTTGTTGTCAAACATTAAGGAGGTCGTTGTCCACTAACCACTCTATTTTTAATCTTCGATGCTAAATCCATCCAAAAATAACCTTTTGAGGTAGATGAACTTTAACGTGCTCTCATCTGGACCAATTTTCCAGAAGCGTGACATGAGAAGCACAATCTGAATTTAACAAATTCTAGGCATTTATTACTGGCTATTAAAAATAAACATCACATAAAATTAAGTGTACCGATAAACATTATCTATAAATTAGTTTTACAACTTTCCTTTATGAATATGAATTTCCGTCATAGACTTTTGAAAGAATGATGGATGTGCGAGGATTCTAATTTAGAATGTACACTTTTTAGACAGCCTTGTTTAAAGGAAGAGTTGCTGTGCAAATATTCGGAACCGGTGCGAGACTGCTGTCACAAAGTGACAATCGTGGGAGCCGGCATGGTCGGCGTGGCTATCGCGAATGCCATTATCTTCCAGGTACGCGAATCCGTCGTTTTTCGTCGACCTTTGAACAGTAATGGAATATTCGAGTTTCGTGCAAGTTTTTTCTTTGAACTCGAGTGAAAGTTCGCGTATGACATGTATGAATGATGGAAGAATATACCAGAAATTCAGCGTGTAAACACGTATCATAAAATACTTTGCATACCTCAAATCGGTGACAATTATTGCGAGACGTTAATTTTAACTACTGTCGCTTCATTCTAGAAAGTTTCCCCTCACGTCGCCATAGTGGATGCATTCCCGAAGAAGCTGGAAGGGGAGGGAATGGATTACAGCCATGGTTCCGTTTATCTAGAAGATCCACGCATCGATTACGACACAGGTAATAAAGTTTATTTTAGCAACGATTTCATCGAGCATCAGCGAATTTCTAGAAAATTTCAACCAGCTAGGAAACTAAATATAGAATTTTCCTGCGAGACCTTTACCATGTTTTTCTATAATAAAATCCACTTTGACCACTGTTACCCAACGCTTCACGCAGTCCATAGATACTTTACTACAAATAAATAATATAACTTGTAAAGAATTTGCAGTGCTAGGTTACAACCGGTAATTAGTTATGAACTGGTACTAGTAGGATCTAGTAGAGAATCTTGGGACCTAGGAGAGCTTCGAGTTTAAGGGAACCTAGGGTTAGAGGAGCCTAGATATAAGGAAACCAAGAACTTGTTAGAAACCTAAGACCCGAGTTTCTAGTAGTTCCAAAGTTTTACGAATAAATGGTAAGCCAGCGATAAAAACGATTAGAATGTTGTTTTAGATTTTTGTATATCGAGCAATTCGAAGGTGGTGATTCTAGCCGCGGGTGTGAGACAGGTAAAAGGTGAAACTCGACTGGACCTGGTGAAACGAAACACTGAGATATTGAAGAACATAGTACCGCCCCTGGTCAACTACAGTCCGAACGCGGTGTTTCTGATCGTCAGTAACCCAGGTTAAGTTACTACGTTGAAGAAAAATAGATACTCGTTGAACGGACGAGTTTTCGTCAGCAAGAATCATCGAGCAACCAATCGAAACGGAACTCTTACTTTCAGTTGACATTTTGGCGTGGGTTACGTGGAGAGTGAGTGGATTACCGGCTAATCAAGTTATCGGAAGTGGAACTCATCTCGATTCGGCGAGATTTCGTTACTTGATCGCCGATCGTTTGGAAATAGCCCCCAGTGCGGTGCAGGCTTACATCGTGGGCGAACACGGTGACAGTCAGGGTGAGTCGAACAATTGAACGTGATCTATTTTCCTCTTACATTTTATGGAGAGGAGAAAGCAAACGGTTACGTGTGTACCGTGTCTCCTTAAATGTTACGCGTTTCCTAGTTCCACTCTGGTCTGGAGTGAATGTCGCGGGCGTGCAATTTCGTGACATTCTGCCTAACATTGGACTGGAAACGGACGAGGAGAGATGGAACGAAATCGCCAAGGAAGTAATCAGATTGTAAGTTCCGTTAACGTTAAAATAACCATCAGCGATGGGTTCGAACGTCTCTCGAGCTCGAACAATGATCTTTTCAGGGGTCCTACAGTGAGATGTCTGAAAGGATATTCGAATACGGCGATCGGTCTCTCGACAGCCGATATCGTCAAAAATATACTGACCAATACGCAGAGGGTTTTGCCGATTTCAACCATGATCCAAGTACGAAACATTTTGCTAACTCGGTAGAAGCATCAAACTATCCAAATTTTCGGAACGATATTAACAACTACGATATAAAGGAACTCTATCAAATTCCGACACTTGATTTTTTTCACAGGGTCACCACGAGGTGTGCCACGAGATGTACTTGTCGCTGCCCTGCACCCTCGGCGAGCAGGGAGTCACGAACATCATACGAATGCGTATCACAGAGCACGAGAAGAAATTGTTCCAAACGTCAGCGAATCTTGTGTACAACGTACAAAAGGATATCAAAATATCTTGAAATTGTAACTTTTAGATCGTGGATATTCGAGGCCATCCATTTGTCAAAAGAGTACTTCGAATATAACTGTCCCGTGATATTTTTATCCGAGTCTTTCCTCGTATTAACCGATTTCAAGAACCGCGATAATGTACTGTACGTTATTCCCCATTTCGTAGCGTCATTAAACCGATCTTGTTTCTTGGAAGGGAACTGAACCCAATTTCCCAACTGTATCTCTTATGTACTGGACCCAAATTCTTCATCTTTTGAATTTCTACGCTTAGGACTTTGTAATTTTAAAATAGCAAGACGTTCGAATTTTTGAGAATTAGAAAGTCCTGTTCCGGAGAAATATGTGGCCTTATCAACTATTTTTTGAGAAATACGAAAATGGTGCGTAGATGGGTACGTTTGCCCGTGTTAATTGAAAGAAATGTGATGGTTGACCGGTGGATGGTACCAGAAGGCCGTAATTCTGCCGCAGGCTAGGCCATGGCAAGGTGAGAGCACAGTACACGAGTCGACCACAAGATGTCGTGTTGAAATGTTCAGGTAAGGCAATAGCCGCGTTGTTACGGCATTCGAACAGCCGCAGTGCCGTAAGAACAACGCTCTTTCCGAGAACGGCCCTCCGGAGACGTCCTGTTCTCGGAAATAAAACGGACGGTTATAAAAGCCTCGTCTTATGCTCATAAATATTTCATACTTATCGAAAAGCTTAACGGTAGGATCGCTATAAAAGCGGCATTGCTAGTCGGAAGTCAGTAAGAACGATAGAAAAGGAACAAAAAGAAGGTAGTTTGAGAGCGCAACATGCACTAGTGTTGATATCGAGCGAAGACGCTATGCCAGAAACGCTCTCCTTTTACTTGGTTCGAAAGCAGATTCATTTGAAAGGCGAGGCGTGTCATTGATTTTTCAAGAATTCTTCGTGGATCGTGTCGTAACGCGCGCGAATCCTTTCGTCGATGAATGTAAATTCTTTCGTTCGAAACGGTCTGCTGTCGTTGGCCATCGACGCGTCTCGGGGAATCGTAATTAGCGAACGGAAACACCTCTCCTCGAACAATTACCGCGCGTTGCAAATTAACCCTCGGGAGGTGTCCGGGTCAATTGTGATCCTCATACGCGCTATATGGTGCAACTTCTTCACAATATTCGTAACACTTTACGTACCAAATTATAGCTTGTAACGCTTTGTTTATAATTATACGTTTTTGTTTATCTTATCTCTAAACTTCAATTGCATACTTTCCATTTCGAAGCGCTTTCGTGGTGGGAGACTAGTTCCAAACCCACTGGTTTCCGATGCATTATTTCCCAGAATCTTGAACTGTAAAAATTCCAAGGATCCTAAATTCTAAAGTCACAGATTACAATATCTAAAAATTCCAAAACTGGAAGATGTCTCTATAACGAAGAGTCGATCGATTTGAAATCGGAAGATTTAAGAAAATCAGCGATAAGAGTATAAAGGAAGCGAACGTTTTCGATCGCAAGAGTAATCGGACAAAACAGCTTCTGGTCGGAGTACAGAGAGCGTAAAGCACAGGTAAAAGAGAGCAGGGTTACCGCGCAGGTGCGAACGGTACTGAGGCCCAGGTGGAGGTGGCAGCCGGGCCCCGTTCTCTGTTAGCCCTGTCGTCTGTCAGTGGAGCTCAGTTAGCAGACAGTCGGTCCGTCCGGTCAGCTGGTTCCGCCTAATCGTGAAAGAGATCTTCTTGACTGTAAATCGAACGCGGACCACCCGATAGAGGCCGGTAATCGAGACTCGATCATCGAACATCGACGAAGAAGAAGAGAAATTAAAGATCGATTGGCCGATGAGCCGCGTGTGCGCGAGTGTCCTCGCTTAACCAACACGTACGATCGAAAAATCAGGGAATAAGCAAGTGACAAGATCGTATCGATCCGTGTAACGAGACAATATTTTAATCGAGACGAACGTATGCGTGGTTAAGTAGGAAATGACTATATCGTACGCGAGTGAAGTGCCAAACGGCTCCAGCTTCGGCTGCTTCTGGAGGATCCTGATCAAGTGAGTTTACCATACGTTTATATCTACATTTGCGCCGAATTCCGCGATCGATTCGATCGAAATGCCTCGTGACAGCTTGAAGCCGATCAGTCGCGCGCTATGTGGCCTTAGCAACAACTTCGACGGGCGCTGTCTTTAGCGATTTTCTTTCTACTCTCTTCGCGGACTTGGCCGCTAGAAAACCACTGGTCGCGCTATCTGCACTTTGTCCCTTCATCGGCTCACCATTCTTTGCCGCGACATTATCGTCCCGCCGTTTAGAGCGGCAGGAAACCTGCGAGGCGTTCTCGAAAACGAGGTGCTCTCACTTTCCTCGCTGCTGAATTAATTCCGAGCTCGTTGCAGGGTATTCTTGATTATCCCCCGACCAAAATTCGACTTCCATTCTTGTATCATCCATTTGCGAAACACAAGAGATTCGCGACGGTTCGTGTTTAGGATTTTGAAAGGAATAGCGTCAAAATATGCCCGAAAGTAGAAAGAAAGAAAAACAGACGACTTTCGACACGCGTACGACCGAGTTGAACGTTTCGAGATACTGGAGCACGCTTCTAGACAGTTTACATAGTCGGCGTGCCGTGTAAGACGAAGATATTGCGATATTGCGACCGGTGGATCGTTGTGCAACGTTCAACTTTCGACTCGATGTGCCGTGTTCTCGATTTAGAGCCCAGCTGCATAGAAGGAGGAGAAGGCCGCGAGTCCTTGGACAAGGATTCTGCGAATGCACGTGAGAGAACTAAAGGTGAACCGATAATCGGTCTTTCTTTTCGTCCAGCAAATTTCTTTTCTGCGATGCACAGAGATTCGCGCAGCACAAAGAATTACGCGTCGTGCAAAATTATGCAGGACATGTACAGCAAGATTTGTTTTTATAGAACTTAAATATACTTACTCCATTTGTGTTTGTAAACAGTATCATGAATGTTAATGCACCACCTGTTACCGTTCATAGAGCTTATTTAAATTTTACCAACGTTGCACCTGCACAAGGATGCATCATTAGTCATTTCAGTTTTTATAAAAAGTAACATTGTTGCCCCTTGTACGATCAACTACGCGACACTCTGCGTAACGTTTGCAGCGGCGTTAGATCACGATTGTAAGAAAAAACAGAAATTGTCCTGATTTTGTTCCCGTTCGTACGTACGGTTATATGAATCACAGTAGCGGAGCACGTAAAACCCGCTAGCACAGAAATGGTGTTCGGTCAACGCTTGCTTGTACGTTTTAAGGAAATAAGGTCGTCGATACATTGATTTTAGCCGTAACGACAGGCACGTTACGTGAAACATCGCCATGCTGTTCTGTCCTCGACCGCCACGAGATTTTCGTTCCAGTTGTCGTTTATGTCGAAACGAGACGATACTGTTTGAAATAATAATAAGATGCTTAAACCCCGCTTACTCATAATTGCAGGAACCTGCGGTTAGTAATTTCAATAATCGCGATCACGCTAACGAGGGAATACCATGTTTTTTCTAGCAATTCGAGCAAACCTCTCGCTTTCCCGTTATCGTATCGACGCACAAAATTGTTTGTATTCGTCTTATGCAAACAGATCTGTGTTTGGGAAAACCTCCGGTTTATTACACAACTTTCCTCGGAATCGGGGTGACATCAATGCCTGCATAGAGCAGCACGCGCTAAATCGAACGTTATACAATGATCCTTATGTAAATCATCGATGACGTCCCACGGATCATCTGTACAGTTAAGTACGAGTTTGCCAACGTAGCTAGTCTAAAGATTGTAGCAGGTTGAAGTTCTGGGAACGTGGCACAACATGGTCAGAATCACTTGATTAAATAGTATCCGTTCAACGGTATCGATACGTCGATGCTCGAGATCGCACAACCAGTCCAACACAGTGTACAGTCGTGTATACGTACGCGTTAAGTTCAAAGTCTGGAAATGTTCATTGAGCGAGAAAAAACGATCGGAACGTGTCGTGATTTTAGAGGAACGATTACGGTCGAATCTACTTTCCGCGTTAGCGATGTATTTGCATGCGATACAAGAATGAACTGTATAAATTCATGACAGGAAAACGCGGAGTTACTCATGCTCGCAGACGCGAATAATTGCGAGGAAAAAAAGCGAAGTAGTCATCACCGGACATTATTAATAACTCGACATTAATCAAAGACGTTAATAAAATGTTTTACATGGCATCATCGGTCTAAGACACAGGTTTTAAATCGTTGCTTGGTTGTTCCTGAAAACGCGTAATCATTTAGGATCGTGGTGAACAATTCGCGATTGGCTACGTCCTTGCCGAAGCTCGTTTATTGACATTTCCACGACCTTTAACGCGTCGTGTTGCGTCGGTGGATCTTCGTCGTAAGTCTTCGTTTTCTCTCCGGGCGCCAGCTTGAAAACGGCCTTAACGGCTTTCGCGTAAGATCTCGCTTTCCTATTGCTCGTTACAGAGCGCTGTCTAATGGACGGTTGATTTGTCTATAAATACCCGAGAATCGCTAGAAATAGAAAATCTCTCGCGACAGCACGTATCTAATCGAAATGATATTATTGCATTCCAAGTAATATCCCGATTGCAACTTGCGAATAACTATCCTGTTCGGTTACGTATCTGAAAGTTTCGCGTTCGGTAGCATCGTGAAATCGCTACGTTACAAATTCTCGAGGTTCGACCCGTGAGAATTACACTCTTGATTTCAAGACGATATTCCAGCAAACAATCGGTTGTAACATCCGAAAGGAAACTGTTTAATCTAATAGATGCAGTGTCAGTTTCTTCGATGGTACCATAAGATCGCAGGTTTATATGATTTTTTTCCCGAATGAACATAAAGTATTCATCATCGTCGTAATAAGATATTCCCGAGAGGATGCACCGGAGCGTGGTCGTCCACTCATTTACATACCAAACGGCTACATGATTTTCGCAATAGATCACGTTGAGCGTCGAAGGCGAATCGATGATCGGGTCATCAAGGCTGCATCGTTTGTTCCCTTTACTATCTCCGCACCCTCGTCCTCGGAGAAAAATTCGGAGTGGATAGAGAAGATACGGTGCACGTAAACGCGCGAGTTACGAAGAAGATTTTCCAGTTTGCTTTTGTGTTTCTCGTTACCGAAGCGGCCTGCCGGAGATAGCGCGATTCATGCAAGAAGTTTTCTTTTTCTCGTGCAAGGCTTCCGGAGCGGTCCATACCAGCTTTCCTATCGGCCTGCCGGAGCCAATGGCCAAAGAGGAGAACAGGATCGGCTGTTTATAAATAGCCGCGAGAGTCCAGAACGATCTATAAATACTTAGCCGGCTATCCAGGAATAGAAAATCCCGGTTAATTCTCCATCGCGATAATAATTATCGTCCGTGCATATTGTATCGGCGACATACAAATCCATCGGTGGCCGCGAAGCTGATCATTAAGCCGATCTTTGATTGACGGTTAGAAACAACCTGCTCGCGTGTAAACGCAGAGGAAGAGGCGGGCAAAACCATCGGTGGCTGGCACTACGCCTTCGTGAACGTTCGTTTTCCAATGTTTTACCGCTTTAGAAGTCGCGAACGTCGACGGAAAGGAACACGGGCACCTGTGGACGCGCGAGCGTCTAGCGATCACGCGCGCTAAATAGGACCGGCGCGTGAACGGAAGAACCGTGGCAGCAAATCGCACTCGTGAAAGCAAGAACGGCCCCGCGTTGCGCGGAAGACTGGTCAAGATAAAGGCGGCAGGATGATGTTCCTCGTTTGCAAGCTCGCGAAAAAGTGAAACCCAGGAATCCTGGTTTCAAGTGACTCGACACGTTTCTCGATGATTCTCGACTATTCGTTCATTGAATTTCTACCGAAGTGAAATCAATTCGGAAAATGAACGGAGCGCGTTCATAGATAACGTTGCACTACGTACACGCGATTAGAAAAGATGAGATCGAATCAAAACAGTCAATTATTTCTATCTACCAGAAATCTATTCTGTAAGTTGTAAAACTTTTATTTGCCGAAAGATGGATAAGCTTCGTGCCGCTATAAAGGGGTGAGGGATACGATATTTGAAGGCAAATATTTTACGATAAATATCTACATCATTATCTGCTATAACTGGGACAGTCGAATGATACGTATTACTGGGTTAAGGAAGCGTATGTGTACTTTTCGTATGATAATCGTAATCCTGTAACTGCAGCTTGAACACACCGAACACTTTGCGCGATCCGAACGTCTTGTGGTAGGGAGTCATGGAATTTACAGCCGTAACTTTATTTGTCTTTTAATATTTTCCACTGATTATACCGCATTAGCAAGGTCACGTTAATGAGCGTCTTAGAATTTTCAAATTGCATTCGACAATTGCTACAAAGAAGAGCGGAAAACAAAGAGGTAGGAACTTCCCAAGAACAATCAAAGCATCAATTAGATTCCTGGACCGCAATCTTTTCTTGTCTTCTACCTAACGTTTATCTAAGACTGAATCATCGGACAAAAAGGAACATAGTTCGATCAGACGATAACATAAAGAAGCGCGCGAGTAATAAGCGAGCTATCGAGCGAGCCAAACGCGTCAACTTTCTTCGATGGGTGACCGTGAGGAGCGTTTCGAGAACTAGGCCATTGTCTCTGAAATTGAACGATCAGGAGCGTCTCATGAGAATGCAAAAAGCCGGGATCGGTCGTGTCCGTATTGCAACGGAGCGGCGAAACGGCTCGGCGCGGTGCATCGACGCTACCGATTGGTCACGTTCGGGCTCGTGTGTCGCGACGAGGCATCGTGCCTATCGCGAATTTGCCTCCGTCTCCGTTTATTTTATGAGCTTGCATGCACGCACGACTGCACGAACGTAGCTGCTGTTCGACACCACGACGAATGACAATGAGACGCAGCCTGCTGCACACACCACGAGCCTATGACACACATTTCGTTCACCTCTCCTGTGTTCCGTGGGTATATCGAGCGCGCTGGCGAACGATCGAGTACGTGTGCTTCGAACGTATTCGTGCAGACGCGGTATCGCTATCGAGCGCCTCGAAACCT